GAGATAGTACAGGAATGAGGTATATGCCGTGCATGGGGTGGGTGACCTGGATAATTATTATTTTTTTTGGGTCACACCTGGCAATGCACAGGGATTACTCCTGGCTCTGCACTCAGGAATTACCCCTGGAAGTGCTCAGGAGAACATATGGGATGCGGGAGTCGAACCCAGGTTGGCCGCATGCAAGGAAAATGCCCTACCCACTGTGCTATCACTCCAGCCCCATGGCCTGGATAATTCTTGATCCCTAGCACTGAGCTGCTGCCCAGTTAGTTGATAATCACCAAGAGTAAGCTCTGAGCACCACTGGGTGTGCTCCCTCGCCTTCCACAAAAAGAAAAAAGCCACCAGGGTTAGGGACATAATGCAGTGGTAAAGTACCTGGTTCACACGTAGAAGACCTTAGATTTGATTTCCAGTCGCATAAATAGCAACAATATTATTTGCATTTATATGAGATGATGGTCTTATTGGGATAATAATTTCACTATATATGTCAAATCATTATGCAGTAAAACTTATCTTATACAGTGCTATAATCTTAATAAAAGTAGACATCTGGGGCTGGAGAGATACAGTTCAGTTTTTTTTTCAGGGTTAAAAAAAGAAAGGAAAAAAGTTATCATTTGAAAGCGAACAGGAATTTATTCAGATCTTGGTTTAAACAGACTAGACATTTTAGAAATTATAAGGAAAAACTGAATATGTATCAGATATAAAGTAATAGTAAGAAATTACCCTAACAGTTCTACCAGATACTTATATATCTTTGATATTAACCCCTTTATCAGATGAGTGTTGTGTAAGTAATTTCTCCCATCCTGGTGATCTGGCGATTATCTTTGCATCCCGGCCATCATTTTTTTTCAAAGCACAGAAGCTTCTTGATTTAATGTACTTTCTTTCTTTCTTTCTTTCTTTCTTTCTTTCTTTCTTTCTTTCTCCTTTTCTTTTCTGAGTCACCCCCAGTGATGCTCAGGGGTTACTCCTGGCTCTGTACTCAGGAATTACTCCTGGCGGTGCTTGTGGGACCATATGGGATGCTGGGGATCGAACCTAGGTTGGTCTGGTGCAAGGCAAATGTCCTACCTGCTATCGCTCCAGCCCCAATTTAATGTAGTTTCACATGTTTATCTTTGCTTCACTTGCTTGGTCAGTGGTGTTTCATCCTTGAAGATACTTTTAGCTTCAATGTCATGGAGACTTCTGCCTATGTTTTCCCCCACGTACCTTGTGGACTAGGTCTGATATCAAGGTCTTTAATCCATTTTGATTTGACTTTTGTGCATGTTGTTAGGAAAAGATCTGAGTTCATTTTTTTCCCCATGCAGCTGCCAGTTTTCCCAACATGAAATCTGCTGCTACAGGGAAGGACATAGAGAGATATCATTAGTCAGAGGGAGAGACCCACACAGAATGATCACTCTCGTATGCGGGACATAAACATAAAGGGCCTGAATGATAGTACAGTGGATAGAGTGTTGACCTTACACATGCTCTACCCAAGTTTGATCTCCAGCATCCCATATAGTCTCCTGAGCATCACTAGGTGTGATTCCTGAGCGCAGAGCCAGGACTAACCCCTGAGCAGTGCTGGGTGTAGCCTTCAAATTAAGCCCCCGGCCCCAGCAAAAAAAAAAAAAAAAAAAAAAAAAAGACTCAAACCCATAAGGAAACATAATGGTGGAATAATGAATACCCAAAGGTAATGGAAATAAATAACATGAGGTTTAAAAGTGGTATTCAGCAGGAAACATGCCAGCTGAAAGGGCTGGCGAATAGGATAGGAAGGGGACTACATTCTGTAGTGGAGGGTAGTATCCAATTGGGAGGGGAAGATGGTACTGAAGGTGGTGAAGTGCTATGGATGAAACCATAAACCATATCACCAACAGTACAGCAAACCATAGTGAAAAACACATATATATCTACACACACACACACACACACACACACACAGTGCCTCTGGTAGGAACAGATTGGTGGTGGGTGGCAAATGGGGGTGGGGGAACATTGGTGAAAGGAAGTGGACATTGGTCAAGGGATCAGTGTTGAAACATTGTATGTTTAAAACTCAATCATAAATAACTTTGTAATTTCACAATGACTAAATTTTTTTAAATAAGAGAAATTGTTCTAACAGTATGATAATGATACTATGCTTCTCTCCTTTGTTTTTTCTTTTTGGGCCATACCTTGCGATGCACAGGGGTTATTCCTGGCTCTGCACTCAGGAGTTACTCCTGGAGTGCTCAGGGGACTATATGGGATGCTGGGAATCAAACCCGAGTCAGCCACGTGCAAGGCAAACACCCTACCTGCTATGTTATTGCTCCAGCCCCAGATACTACGCTTCTTTTATAAAATTTTTTTTTATAATTAAATAATATATTTTGGGGCTGGAGTGATAGCACAGCGGGTAGGGCATTTGCCTTGCACACGGGATGACCTGAGTTCAATTACCAGCATCCCATATGGTCCCCCAAGCATGGGCAGGAGTAATTCCTGAATGCATGAACCAAGAGTAACCCCTGTGCATCATTGGGTGTGACCCAAAAAAAAGCAAAAAAAATATATATTTTTTGTTTTTTGGGTGAATCACAGTGTTCAGGGTCTACATGGTGACACAGTCCTTGGGAGTTGCTTATGGGGCTGCTCAAGAGACCATGCAGGGATAGAACCTGGGTCTTCCACATGCAAAGAGTATCAAATCAATTGTGCTACCTATTGCAGTTATTAAGAAGGACATGATTAAGATAATTTCACCAGACATACCAAATAGAAGGTCACTTTTGACCTTGGAAAGATCAGTTTCAGTGGACGTAGGAAGGCAGAGAAGTTTTTCAAGTTTTTCAGAAGCCTAGCTCTGAAGGGGAGAAGAAATGAAGATCCTACTTACTCCCACTGAAGGACAAACTACGGAAGTGCTGAGGGAAGTCTGAAGCATCTGAAAATGACTGATAATATAGTTGAAAAGAGGAGTTGCTATGATGGGAAGGGAGAAAGATATGCTGAATGTAGGCAGGGCCTTGTACATGCAAGGCATATACTCCATCATTTGAGCCATATCCCGTGTTCCTGAAAAAAATTTTATGCGTTTCCAGCTGAAATAGCCCTTCCTTCCTTCCTTCCTTCCTTCCTTCCTTCCTTCCTTCCTTCCTTCCTTCCTTCCTTCCTCCCTCCCTCCCTCCCCAGCAACATAGGAGTGCCATGAGGGACAAAGAGGTGCCTGTGATCTTCCTGGATTTCACTCCCCCCTGCCCCCCACCCCCTGCCCACATCATTGCTTGCTTCAAATGCATTCATCCAGTTGAATGATCTCTCCACTCTTTTTGTTTTTCTATCGCCGATAATTTACTTTTCTTAATTTACTGTTAACTCCCAGCACTATCCTGGACTCCATTTCTGTTCATAAACTACACACAACAGGTCTATTTACCTCAGTTGGTTTCTTAGTTGGAAACCAAGACTATTTTATGACTTGCAGGTACACCTTTTAGTTCTTGAGTAAGAACTAAAGTACTGCAGAGGTTTCCTTCTAAAAATTTTCACCACACCAAAAAATTATAAGGGTGAGGAGATAGTTCAAAGAATTGAAGTGCATGGTTTATTTGTAGGAGTTCTGAGAATGCCTTCTGAGCACTATACTTGAAATGACCTCCAAGTCTAGCACCACTGGTGTGTGTTCCAAAAGCAAAAACAATTAATGATGATAGGAACCGGAGAAGTAGAACAGGGATTAGGTGCTTGCCTTGAACATGACTGACCCTGATTTCAATCCTTGGCCTAACTTATGGTTCCCCCCCACCCCAGCACCACCCTAAATGATCCCTGAGCAGATAGCCAGGAGTAGGTCCTGAACTCTACCAGTTGTGGTCCCAAAACCAAAAAAGGAAGAAATAAATCCTTCTTGCTTTAGGAGCATTAAAACATTTTAGTTTGCTCCTCTGTTCCAAAAGTTTTCTAGTCATTTAACTACTAAATTGTCATAAAAACCTCAAGAATTTGTCTTTTTTTCTACCATCACAATAAACAGAGTAACTTAGACCTGTACTTCCAAGTCTTATTTAAGGTTCGAAAAATCATTATAATCTATTCGTATATTAAAAGTTAAATTGCATACTTATTATGTTTAGGTTACCTCTGCATTCTGCACAGGTGCTACACTAAGAATGTGATATTTCAGGGTCGGAGAGATAGTTACAGCAGGTAAGACACTTGTTTTGCACACAGTCGACCTGGTTTGATCCCTGGCATCCCATATGGTTCTCAGAGTCCTGCAAGGTGTGATCCCTGAGCACAGAGCCAGGAATGAGCTCCAAGTATTGTTGGGTGTGGCCCCCAAACAAAAAAACAAAGAAAAGAATGTGATATTGCAGGAACCGGCGTGATAGCTCAACGGGAGCATACTTAAGGCCTTAAGTTAGATCCCCTGTACCACAGGGCTTGTATAGAACATCTGGGTGTAACCTTGGTGGCTTCCTCCCCAGCACTGTCAGTGAGTCTCAGTCAACACATACAGAGGGCCTCAGCAGCACGGCATCTTGGCGCCCTAGCAGTGAACAGTCCGGAAGTTTGCTGGCAGCGGGAGGCTGCTGGGCACTGCTGGGGAGAATGCCTACTCATTCTCGCCCTCCCCCCCACCCTTCCACACAGAAGGGCAAACTTCTCTTTCGCAGGACTAGTGGGGTGGCGCAAGTCTCAGGAACGGAAATAGAGAGAAGTTTTACTTTCTTCGCTTTCCAGGGAGAAAGGAGGCACCTGACGCCCGCGTGGCACAGGGGTACCGCCAGCCGAGCGAGGCCACGCTGGACAGAGGCCGCGATTCGGGCCACCTGGGAGACTCCGCCCAGCGCGACCAGTTGCGCGCTCCCGCCAGGGCGTGCGCGCGTACGCAGCCTCATCTCGCGCTGAGTCGGGCCTGTCAGGCGGGAAGTCTCGCGAGATCAGAGACTGGGCTGCCTGTCGGAGGAGGGGAGTGGTGTTGGGAAGGGGGGGAGTCTGGGCAGCGGCCGGGCTCAGCTTCAGGGCTCAGAGTGAGAGAGAGGAAGAGAGGGCGAGAGAGGGAGGGTGGCAAAGCGAGCGAGTCGGTGCCGCCGCCTGACTGAGGAGAGAGGAGGGGTCCCGCTGGCGTGCGCCCTTCGCGGGCCGAGAGCGCGAGGCACCCGCGAACCTCCGAGGCCTCCCGGCCCCTGGGGACCCCGCCCCGCCGCCGCCGCCGCCGCCGCCGGCCGCCCGGCCCGCGGCCTCTCTTCCCTTTGTGAGCGCCCCCTTCCCAGGGGTGGTGGTGGTGGCGGAGGGCTGCGCGTGGGCCCGCCCGCCGAGGGGCCGCGGCGGGGGACCGAGAGGGCCTCGGCTGTGTGAGGCCGGGAGGCGGCCGAGGCCCGGGCCGGTTCCCCCGAGGCGGCGGCAGCGGCGGCGGCGGCGGCGGCGGCGGCGACTCCCGGCACTTCCCCGCGCCATCTTAGCTAAGCCCCAGCTGTGTGGGCACCTCCTCGACCCCGATCGTCCCCTCGCCCCCCCCCCCCCCCCGCCCCTTGTCGCAGAGCTTGGGCTGGGCGGCTCGCTGGGGCCCGGGGTGGGGGGGGCGGCGGTCTGTCGCCAGGCCCCCTCCTCCTCCTCCTCCTCTTCACTCGCCCTCCGGCGTAGCGGCTGCCCGAGCACTGCGGGGGGCTGCGCCTGTCCACTCCGCCCTCGACCTGCCGGCGAAAGGGTAAGGGCACCTCTGCTTTGGGAGAGGGAGGCCGGGAGGGGGGCGGGGAAATTCGGCCCCTTCTGGCCTCGGGGCGGAGGGGCTGTGGGGGTGGGGTGGGTGGGGGGAGGGAGGCTAGGAGGGTCTGTGGTTCCGTGGGTGGGGTGGAGGCGGCAGTGCCGGGCGCCCTCGGGTTTGGAGGGGCGAGAGCGATTCCACTCCTCTTTCCTGAGGGTCACCGGAAGGGGTGGTGGAAAGGGGATGTCTCCCGGAAGGTGTGGCCGTCCTGAGGAGGCTGGGTTGATGTGCACCCCGAATTTGAAGGCTCGAGGTCCCCTTTCCTTCTGGTCCCTCTGCTCCTCCCTCTCCTTTGTGGTGTCTCTGTGCTCTCGGAAGGGGAGATTGCTCCGTGTAGCCCGCTGGGTGGATTCCAGCCTTGCCTCCCCCTCGGGAGACCTGTGCTCCTTTTCTGTTGGGGGTGACGGAACCGGCCCCCCTCCCGCCCTTCCCCCCTCCCCATCCTTTAGTCTGCTGCAATGCTGCAGAAGTCCGAGGCAGTTTCTTCATACACAGGCCCGTGTATGTACACTGAAGGGAGGGGGAGCACAAGAGCAAGTAATGGCGCTTCCCGTGGAAAGGTTATCCTTGTTCCTTTGGTTTTAAATCGATAATTGTACCGGTTTTAATACGCTTCGCCCGAGATCCTTTCCCCTCGGAAGTGTATTTGTTCTTGTTTTTGTTGTCGGGGGAGAGGGACCCTGCCCTACAAGAACACTTTGGCTGCCTCTCACTCTCTTTTAAACACTAAATTGACACTTTGGGGGAGCATATTGGATTTTAGAAAATAATTTTGTATTCCGTTGCTCCCCCCTTCTTGTGACTTAAGAGTATTTCTTAAGAGTTAGTAAAGGTTACTGCATATTGACCGGCCATCTAGTTACTATTTCTTCTCCTTGAGCTGTGAGTTCTTAGGGTTAAATACTATTTTGCAACATACTGGAATTAGAATTTTCTGAAAGTGATTGTTATAAGCCTTTCTGTAGCAAAACCTTTTTTTTTTAAACACTCTTTTTAGGGATATAAAAAAAAGTCATTAATTTGACCCGTTATGCTGAAGTAGATTTTACATACCCTTTCCTCCCTCACTTTTGCTTCATGTCATGTTTGTTTAGGGCAGTACTTTGTTTTAAAAAGTCATTTTACCTGGGTCGGGAATGTAGGTGAGTGGTATTGTGCTTTGCAATAACCAAACCAGGTCAAAACCTGTTTTTGACCCCTGATATTGCAAAAAAATAAACTAATTTTTATCTGACTTACAGTAGTTCTTGTTGGTATTTTCCTTAGTAGAGAAGAAATAAAAATTTACATTAGAAATTTACAAGTGCTTTTTAGAAGTCTATTACTTAGTTCTTTTGTTGGGGGGGGAGCACACCCAGCTATGCTCTGGGCTTGCTTTAGGCTCTGTGCTTAGGGGTAACTGAGTAACTGAGTAGAGGGCTCTGGGGACCATTTGTGTTGCTGGGAATTGAACTGGGTTGGCCTGGTTCAAGGCAAGTGTCCTACCGCTGTACTCTCTTCCGCCTCAGATTGTACTTTTTGTTAAGTATTTAGATTTACTGATGAAGTGATTTCAAAGTGGTTCTACTTAATAATATTCATAGAAATAATTTTCTCACAGAGAAAGATGACTAAAATATATACAGATATGAATTGTCTTGATATTTTACTAAATATTTGATCATTGGGCTTTATTTAGGGGGTGACTTATTTTTTTAACACTTCCAAATGCAGTTACATTTACTGTTGTCCTCAGAGCTTTTTAAAGATGTGTTTGTTGCACTTCGTAATTTATTTAAAAAAGATTAAATTGGTTAGTAGTACTTCTAGATTCTAATTTAGTTTTTGTCATCTTATTTCATGTTTTTGATATAAGAAGACACATGGTATGCTGGTAAATCAGCTTTCTTATTTTTAAATTTAATTTTATTGTTTTTTGGCCACACCCAACAATGCTTAGGGGTTACTTCTGGCTTTGCACTCAAGAATTACTCCTGGCAGTGCTCGGAGCACCATATGGGATGCTGGGGATCTAACCCAGCTTGGTTGTGTGCAAAACAAACTCCCTACCTATTGTACTATTGCTCTGGCCCCCAGCTTTATTATTTTTCCCACAGAAAATGGAGTTCTTGATTTTTATCTGAGTTCATTTTTAACATAAACAACACTACTTACTTGTATGGTACAATCTGCACATGTGGAGTGTGGCTTTTCCCCAGTAGGGTAAATTATGCCAGAAAGTCTGATTTTCTGTTATGATTTAATATTGATATATATTAAATTTTTTTTTTTAAATTTTGGGCTGCAACGATGGTTCTCAGGGCTTACTCTTGGCTCTGTGCTCAAGAATCACTCCTGTAGGTACTCAAGGCATCAGGGATCATATGCAATGCAATGCAATGCAGGGATCAGATCAGGGTCAGCTGTGTGTAATGCTAGCACCTTAACCCTTGAACTCTCTTTCCAACCCTGGTGTTGATATTTTAAAATTCACATGTGATTAACCTGTATAAACCCACGAATACTGTTCAGTAAATAATGGCTACTTTTAGGGGCCAGAACTGATAGATAAATGTGCTGAAAGCATGCTTTGCATGCCAGAGGTTTTGGTTTTGATACCTGGCACCATTTGGTCCTCTGAACAACTCTGAGAGTTACCCCTGAGCACAGACAGAGCTGGGTGTGCCCAAGAACAACCAACAAAAAAGTGCTTTTATTTTGGATAGAGGCAGAGAGGCTTTTTTAGTAAACTTCAGAATTTAAGGATGTTTACTGGCTATAGATGAACTGCTTACTATATTTAAGCATCTTTAAGAGGTCATTTTTTGGCAATTAAAAAGGAACCCTGTTTTTTATAGCTGATAGGAATTTAATCTAGATGTTGTAAAAATATGTTCATGATTAGATAAAAATCACTTTTAAGGAAAAACTGCCTGAGGATTATTTCAGTTGACCTTTTATGCCACTGTCAAAAAGAGAGTGTTTAGTCTGGGTTGGTAGATTCCAGATTACTATGGTGCTTCTTTCTTCCCCTTTCCCTGCTTTTGGTTTTGGCTAGAAGTGCTTAGGGCTTACTCCTGGCTCTGCACTCAGGGATCACTACTAGCAGGGTTTGGGGGACAATATGGGGTGCTGGGGATCGAACCAGGTGGGCTGTGTGCCAGGCAAGTGCCCTACCCACGCTACTATTCCTCTGTCCCCAGTATGGCACTTCTCATGTTTCTAAATAGTTCATCTACAAAATGGCAGTGTACATCACTTCCTGTTCTTTCACAACTGGCTCTTTCTCTGGATTCCCTTTTAATGACTTAATTTTTGGCATTCTGATAACTGATTTGTTAATTTGGTTCTAATTCTCATGTTTTATAAATGTAAGAATTTTTAACAATCTACTGGGCTTAAAGACTTTGAATAGTTTAAGATGATCTTAACGGTAATTGAATTTGATTCGAAATGGAAAAATAGTTTCTCAAATTTAAAATCAGGTTTTAAACAACCATAACAATTGACAGGGGTGGAGAGGGTATAAGAAATAAGGTGCTTGTCTTGAATTGGTTGGGGGATGGCCCCCCAGTTTGATCTTTGGAAATGGAACTGCGTATGATTCCCCACGCGCACTTCTAGGCATGATCCCTGAGTATAGAATCAGGAGTAGCCCCTGAGCACTTCTGGGTATTGACCAGCCATCATCCCCCTCCCCCCAAAACCAAACAACCCAACCCACAAAAAGGATCAGACATAGTATGGTTACACAGGTATGGTGCTTCCTTTGCATGCAGCTGACCCAGTTTTGAACTCGACCACTCATATGGTCCCCTGAGCACAGAGCCAGGAGTAAGCCCTAAATATTACCAGGTGTGGGGAAATAAACAAGCAATTCATAGGATCAAAGTATGAATAAGAGATAGTACAGGGGTTCAGGTTGTTGCCTTGCGTGTGACCAACCCCCGCCAAAACTCCAGCACCACGTAAGGTTCCTTGAGCCCAGCTAGAAGTGATCCCTGAGCAGTGTCAGGAGTAGTCCTGAGCACTGTCAGATGTGATCCAAAAAACAGGGAAAAATAAACCCTAAAACTGAGTGAATTCAATAGACAATAGTTATTATATTTTCTACCATAAAGATTTTGGGAGAATGTAGTATAAAACAAATTTATATATATAATATATATTTATACACACATATGTATATGAATCCATGCTATGTCATACTGTCACTGTCCTCCTGTTGCAGGCCCAGTAACATTGTAAAACTTGTTACTGTGTTTGGCATATTGAATATGTCACAGGTAGCTTGCCAGGCTTTGCTGTGCGGGTGAGATAGTCTCTGTAGCTTGCTGGGCTCTCCGAGAGGGGAAGAAGGGGAAGGAGGAATTGAAGGTGGAGGAATTGAACTCAGGTCAGCTGCGTTCAAGGCAAAAGCCCTACCCGCTGTGCGATTGCTTCAGCCCGCTATGTCATACTAATATTAAGAAATTGATTGGTCACAAAATAGTTTGAAAGCTTTTCACTAACCATAAGTCGTATAATTTATATTTTGAGAATTTTCTGGAGGCCTGAGATTTAGTACAGTGGGGGAAAGTGCTTACCTTGCATGCATATAACCCAGTGTAGCCCTGGAACTTGCATATGGTCTCTTGAGCCTTGCCAGGAGTAAACTAAATGTAGTACAACCCCTACCCCCGCAAAATAACTTTCTGGTGCTTAGGAGGTATGAATATTTAGTATATCCCTAAGTAATCTAGGAATCAATTCTTGGGATTGCACTTAGAGTTGAGATTCCCTGAAAATAATTTTTTAATTAGATTAATTCATATATTAAAATCACTTATTCTTGGGGCTTGGAGTTAGTTCTCATGGTAGAGTGCATGTCTACCATGTACAGGGCAATGAGTTCAATTCCCAGCACCATATAGGAACCCTTCTTAACCCCTAGCACTAAAGTGTAGCCTCATGGCCCCCTAGTA